TGCTGCTAAATCAAGTGGTGTGGATCTATATCTTGTATCACTAGGCATGTCTGCTGCTATTATAATTTTTGGGGGTTTGGGTTATTGATGACGCATGCACAGTTTGGAGTTGGGCATCTTGGTTGGTTTAATTACCCTGGTCTGATGCTGAGTGAGAGAGTACTGTGCCATTGCACAGTGGTTTGAGGTTTGCCTTTGTATATCTCCTCCTCGAAGCGATTAGTAGGTATATAGCCTCAGTGTTTTTAGAGAAAGAGGCTTTGAATAAACATGGCTGTGTGTGACTTTTAAACCATGTGCGCATACTATAGCTAAGCACATGATATGTGGTAAGGATGTCATGCCCACAGGCTACTTCTCTTCTAGTCTCATACCCAACCACTCCATGCACAAGCGTGTCTGGTATATAACTTTTATTAACGTGAAACTTGGCCCGTAGTATCCGAACCTCTCGTAATAGGATGTGTTGCATACATATAGGATATGATGCATATGAGTACGTGACATCAATTCCGCTGATTTGAGATTTGAATTGTATGAGTACTGAGTTGAGATGTCCAAGCATGCGACAAAAGAGCTCTTTAATGGAGGCTTTACTGCATGCTCAGCCTAAAAGAACAGAAACAGACTATTATAGTTGTAAATGGAATGTCAAACTGTCTGTCTTTTCCAGTCATTCCTTGAGTGTTCTTTCTGCCTTTGGTCCCCTGATGACCCCTTCTTGTCTGTTGCTTTAAGGTATCTGTCAATTTCGTGATATACTTCCTGTGCCCCCTTTAGCGACTGCCTTACATGACGTATAAATGGCTGGACAAGGAGATAATATTATTATGAACATTAAAGCCACCTGCAGAAACAATTTCTTACCTGTGATACACTCCTACTTCTCCTTCTCCGGCGAGAGGTGATCTGGGTGGTATCAAGGATGTCCTGTTGAGTGAGAGGAGTGCCCTGATAAGTAGTAGAGCTGTCCTGTTGTGTGGCAGTGGTATCGTGACTAGGATCTGGAGTTTTCCGCTCAACATCTGGAACCTGCGTCAGAACAAATGAAATGGAGACACTAAAACGCAGTGGTCGCTTCCCTACATTCTCAGAGAGCGTGGCGAGGTCCTTGTGGGAGGGGAGGGGGTTGGAGGAGTGTCTTGGTAGTCTGGAAACCTGTCCTGCTGCGGGGAGATACTGCCACCCACAGAGGCATCCTGAACAACAGTGAACAGAAGATGTGGTGACTGCCCTGATTACCTCTTGAACTAAAGTGCAAACCCTCGGTGAACTGCGCATGCGCCATACCGCTAATTGATGGGCTGGGCTATCAGTATGCGTTTCTCCCGCTAGTAGCTCGCGGAGAGTCTGGCACGGGCTAGCTACAGTAGTTGATAGCGTGCGGGAGTCGATACATGCCCTTCGTTGTGAAGATACACAGAGTGAGCGGACCTGGTCGAAGTCGCAGTCGTGGTCAGCCGTGCCGTACATTTCGAATGCGCATATACGCATGCGCACAGCTAATTGATGGGTTGGGCCACGCAACTCGGTCCGCGACCGCGCCAGTCTCTCGCTCTCGAACGCAGTCGTTTCAGGAAAAACGCCGAATAAATTTTCGCAAAAAATCTACACCGGTCGTTTGGATGTATTTCAGCCGTGTCCCTATCTTGCACGGCCAAAGGTTGGCAGGTATGGGATCGTCTCCATGCGCAACTGTCTTTCGCCGTCTTCCTCCTCCCGCCATTCGGCAGACACGAGCCAGCCACACTTTACTGTCGATCTCGCGTACAAGCGCTCGCTGTGGCCGGCACTGAGCCCCGCCTTCCCGTATACACGCGCTCGCTTCGGCCCGCTGAGCCCCGCCTCCCCGAGTGATCGGTGTCGGCCGGCTGCTCGCGAGCAGCCCCTCCGCTATCCGCTATTATTATCGGTCCAGAGTATCTGCGTTGTTTGCGCCCATGCGTCGTACACTACATGGGTGTGGCAGATGGAATGCTCGGGGCAAACGAGGGATTCCAGCGCCGGCGCGCGGGACGTTGGGTTAACGTAGTAATATCGGGACTGTCCCGATCAGATCGGGACAGTTGGCAGGTATGTGAGGGTACTGTCAAGTGCTTTTCAGTAGTAACTAGTGCAAAAGACTGAGGTAGTGTAGCTAGTAGCCATTGGCTGCTGAAATAAAAGAATAAAGTGGCGACGGTTATGCACTTTCAAGTGCTTTTCATTCACCCGGCAGAATGTCCTCTGTGCGATACAGCTGATCTGGACAAACCAACCTTGGCCGAACATGTCATCACCAACCACACAAAAAGTGACAATTCCTGGTGCACTCTACTTGACTCTTTTACTACCGTGGACCCCACATTCTTCAGTCATGTTGTTGCCGAGCGCACTAGCGCGAGGCAACTACCCCGGGTTGTATTCTCGTACGTGTCGGTCATGCTTAAGAATGTAAATTAGTCACGTTAAGGGAATGTCAATTAGACACGCTTAGGAATGTCAATTAGTCACCAAAAGGAAGTGTAACTTCCGTCATTCGTAGGAAGTCTAGCTTCCGCCGTGCGCGCAGATTCGTAGGAAGTCTGGCTTCGCGCGCAGTCACTAGAGCGCGCGCCTCAGTCGGACTGTTTACGCATTGACTGGCAGGCGCGAGGCAAAATATGCGCGTGCGCATTCCTAGTAACTATTGTCATAGTCCCTAACTTTGTCCGTTTACATGTCATGTCCTGGCGTGGCGGGCCCATTGAACATGCATGAACTTCGTGAACTTTTTTGTATGGAATGGCAACTGTCGGATGTTGTAGTATATAGGCGAATGCAGGGCATTTTTGGCGAGCGGGAGCGAGCACACAATAATGACTATCTGCAATAGCCGTCCTCCTTGAAAGCAGGAATATTGGAAAGAGGTACAGTCACTGAAGTGCGCAGCGAATTCCGTCGAATGGAGGAGGGCTCTCTCGCTGGCTGAATCGCGCATCGAGGATCAATGATGTCAGTGGTAGCGTGTATAGCTAAGACCTAGCAAGTCATTCTCACCCGCGCCATCCAGTCTAGCTACCGACGCTCTTACATTCTCATTGGAAAGTATACGTGCCATTAAAATAGTGGCACATTTTTCCCTAATGATTGTAGTAGCTCTCTGTTTGTAGTGTACTACTCTTAGATTATCGTAAATTCCACACTTCTATGGTTCTAGTAAGCAGCAAGCTCTCCATTTGTGGTGCTCACCATCATTCCCCCCAATGATGACACTTCTACAGCCACCGTTACATTGCATTGCAATTATAGAGTCTCTTGTGCTTTTTCTACCTCGATCACCTCGTTGTTGACACATGCTAATACACCTCCGAGATAGGCACAACCTCTTGAGTGACAAAATCATTGGCCCCTTAGTGTAGCGTGTTCATGGGTTCCACTAAAGTTATACGTAGCTACAGGACATGTCATACTAACTTCAAGAGTGTGGCCTGGGTAAGCTTGAGGTGTATATATTCACCAGTCGCAACACTTGGACGCAGCGCGTTGCCCGATGTTGCGCGGCGTGCGCGGGCGATCGCAAGTATGATCAAACGTTTCACTGCTGCCTCTATATTATATACCTTTGTTTGACGTCGCTTATTGCGCATTGAGCCGTCGCTATGAGCGAACTGCACAAATAGCTACTCTTCTTTAACTACTTACCTAGCACTAAAACAAAGTCTATAGCTAGCTACCATAGCTAGATACTATAGCTCTATAGTACTATATATAGTAAAGATACTAAAGTACTTTTACTTTTATAGCACTTTGACGGTGAGTTGTTTAAGTATTTTTTGTTGGAGCACCACAGAAGCACTTTTCTGGAAAGTAGGCCGCCATGCAAACTCCTTCCCAGCGGTAGTTATTCTGCTTTACCCACGATGGAGGAGGACGATTTCGTAGCAATTTCTTCTTAGCTTCCTCCAACCGTCCACTGTCGGCGAAAAATTGTTTAAACAATTGAACGCTAGCCTTTGCGTCTGTGGCCGGATCGTGCTCGTCAGAAATAAAACCTGTAGACAAACATGTAGTCCTTAGCTGAAGTGGAAGCAATCAAAAGCGTTACCTTGGTACAGAAGAGTGTTGGCTTCGTGGCTCAGTGAAAAGTAGTTGTAGTTTGAATAGCGATGGTTGTAGGCCTTGAAAAGCTCTCCGAGGTCTACTGTACACGAAAAGTGTTCACCCTCGCGCAACTTCAGCCATTGCACATCATTTTTTACGCCCTGTCCAACCAGAACAATTTCGGGACTCAGAATACGTTTAACTTCCGCCAGTACACTCTCTAGCGGTTCTCCATCATTCAGGTCTCCTTCACGAAGGCCCGTTAATGGTGTCAGGTAGCTCATTACCTCTTCTCTTGGTTTGACTTTCTTTCTCAATAAGACTCGTTCGTCTTGATCGACAATTGCCACCAGGGCAACCGACCGGGTGTCATGGCGGCGACCAGTCGCAACGCATTCGACATCAATGCTTACATACTTCTCTGGAAGAGAGCGAGTAGCCATTGCCTATGCTTTCCAGTTAGGAGAAAAACACTTAGTAGTTTTATAATCACGAATGCTGAAAACCACAATCACTGGTGCAGCGAGTGAAATTATGGCAAGTGTCAGCAACTATACGTAGCTATTATACTACTGGCTGGTATGCCGATGACGTTGTTAGGGGTGTCGCTTTATTGCTCGTAATTAACCCTCGGTGCGCATGCGCAGCGAGGGTTACAGTACTTGGGTCTGTGTGTCTGCGTGTCTGTTACTCTATATCTCACTCCTCGAACGTCTGTTCGTCCCAGGAACGATACAATCTACCCAACGGGCGACGAAGGTCAGAAAATAAAGGCGGTTTTCTCTGAAAATGCTCCGTTGCAAAGCTAGAGCGCGAAAAAGCCAATATGCAAATACACAACGGACGGGATGGCTTACCACAGTCGGATCGATCCGCGTGCTCTGCGTACTTCGGATGCACCAGAAGATGCAACGCAGGGCGTGTATCGCCTCTCGCATGCTATCTAGTAGTGTAGTTAGCCCGCGTCAGACTCTGCTCGAGCTGGCAAGAGACCACGAGTAACAGCTAAAACTAAACCCAGCCCATCAATTAGTGGTACGGCGCAAGCGTTTACTTACGCGTGCGCGTCACAGTGCGCCGAGGGTTTGCACTTCAGTGCTTTTCATTAATAATTCAACACGAGCAGATGCAGTTAAAGAAAAAATTTTTTTAAGCAGAGCAGAGAGACAGAGGGACTAACAAACTAAGTATACACTCCTCTAGAGCATGCGCACCAAGGGTATCACTGAAACATCTGCTCATTGATAATTGTCAATTGCCTATATCTGGAGTTTTGGCGACGTTTCTTTTTGTCAATGACCGAAATACTTTGCCAAGTAAAACCACCTACGCTGAGTACCTCGAGAAAGTTAACAACATTCTCAAACAAGATCATTTCTCCTTCTCTTTTCTGGTGAAGATGGTGAGTGCAGTCAGTTGGACCTCTCAAACTGTTCAATTTGTGCATGGGCCATTAAGAGATCAATCTCACTATATATCAGACCTGGTGACTCAAACTCATGCTAACGTATATTGTTGGGATAGAACGAAAGATACTTTAGATACTCTCACTTTATAGGGTAAAAGCAGGAGAATAACGCTCGGCGCGCATGAGCAGCGAGGGTTATGGCACTTGGTCTGTCTACGTGTTTTCTGTGACTACGCGCAACGAGACAATAAAACAGCGATGCCAACGGGTTAATCGCTACACTGGGTTCATTTTTTAAAAGGCGATTTTCGTATACCTACTGCGTTCGAAAGTTATGGCAGGAAAACCAAGTGAACAAGCCAGTAAGGATCGATTCCCGCAATGCCTAGAACGCTATCTACCTATATAGCTAGCTTTGTCAAAGATGTAGGGATGAGGTTATGAATGTCTCTCAACAACTTTGTAATGAGGTATATAGAAAGGCAAGGCAAGGTAATCAAGTCAACTATACACCCAGGACAGCACTTTCTTTTCAAAGAATGACTTTCTCTCTATGTAGGCATTGTCTCTTTTGCATAAGGTGACATCCCTACATCCCCCTTCATTTCATGTCTGTTTCATACATTTAAAGTATAACTTCAACATGCTTTACCTTCGCTGCACTGCCTACTGAATGCAGCAGAAATGATTGTCTCACTCACGGCATTGGCATGCACATGGTAGCCTACAAACCCCCAGTTGAAACAACTCTCCTCCGTTTATTAAGTCAAAACATTTTCTTTAAAAACAACACTCTTCTAAGCTAACTAGCTACATCATGATTAATGTTTGCTACAACTATTGTACACGTTATACCTCGCCTGCTCATTGAACATAGAGTTCTACTATTTCAAAAAGCACATCTTCGTCATCAATCCCATCATTCAGACAGATGCGTAGCTCAATAGCATCCGTAGTTGGTGCAGAGAGGTTCTTACAGAACCACGGAGGAGAGTTGAAGGTACAGCAGGACCCACTAACACAGCCAGCACCATCCCACAGTGGATCATTGGTTAGATGGGACAACGGAGGTTGATTATTGACTGTATGTGCAATGTCACAGAAATAGTCATTTCCAAACCCCCAGTTGAAACAACTCTCCTCAGTTTATTATGTCAAAACATTTTCTTTAAAAACAACATTCTTCTAAGCTAACTAGCTACATCATGATTAATGTTTGCTACAACTATTGTACACATTATACCTCGCCTGCTCATTGAACATAGAGTTCTACTATTTCAAAAAGCACATCTTCGTCATGAATCCCATCATTCAGACAGATGCGTAGCTCAATAGCATCCGTAGTTGGTGCAGAGAGGTTCTTACAGAACCATGGAGGAGAGTTGAAGGTACAGCAGGACCCACTAACACAGCCAGCACCATCCCACAGTGGATCATTGGTTAGATGGTACAACGGAGGTTGATTATTGACTGTATGTGCAATGTCACAGAAATAGTCATTTCCAAACCCCCAGTTGAAACAACTCTCCTCAGTTTATTATGTCAAAACATTTTCTTTAAAAACAACATTCTTCTAAGCTAACTAGCTACATCATGATTAATGTTTGCTACAACTATTGTACACATTATACCTCGCCTGCTCATTGAACATAGAGTTCTACTATTTCAAAAAGCACATCTTCGTCATCAATCCCATCATTCAGACAAATGCGTAGCTCAATAGCATCCGTAGTTGGTGCAGAGAGGTTCTTACAGAACCACGGAGGAGAGTTGAAGGTACAGCAGGACCCACTAACACAGCCAGCACCATCCCATAGTGGATCATTGGTTAGATAGGACAACGGAGGTTGATTATTGACTGTATGTGCACTGTCACAGAAATAGTCATTTCCAATATATGGTGGTAAAGTTCCACTGAAGGAATTACTATTGCAGGGACAGTCTTCGTTTATTGTCGAGATCTGATCATGTCCAGCTACAAAAGTCCAGATATGCGCACGTGGGGAACCATGGGTCAGGACTATGCCATCAACAAATGAGGTATCAATAGACACCGTATTATCTGAAATGTACTGTAACAACCCATTCGTCCTCCCAAACTGGTAGCCAATGATTTTACCACACACTCGACTGTACAGGAGTCCTTGTGAGCTGAAAGTGGTACTGATGCAGCGTGAACTCTGACCTCCACACATTGTCTTGCCAGAGTCAGTGACTTTTCTGAACCCTGCAGGACAGTTCTCATTGGGTCTAGTCATGTTGATGTTGGCCACTCTCACCCACCCTCCTCCCTCCCCCCTCCCCTCGTCACATCCACACACCCTCTCCATGTCACAGAACATCTTCACTACATAGCCAGGGGAGCTCTGGACCCAGTAATGACCTGCGTGTGCAGCAGGATGCAATGCCAACCAGTCAGGTAGGCTTTTGATTATCTACCTGAAGTAGCCTGGGGGTGTTGATGTAGAATATGGCTGCAGTTGTGTGCTGGGTTAAGGAAGCTCCCAGCTTTGTTATCATTCGAGTTTATGGAGTCCTCCAGGGAGTCCAATCGCTCATTGATGGTTTGGTTGACTTTTTCAAGGTATGCTATTATATCAGCATCTGAGATGAAAAAAGCATAGAAAACAATAAAAAGAGAGGGTGGAATAATGAAGTTCCGGCATTCAAAACTGATTTTCTTCTTTTTTCTACATTGCTCTATGAAGTCCCAAGGACTTTGTCACTACTTGGGAAATGCACTCCAACTGCGACATTGTAGGCACACACCATTACGCATGTGCGGGTCGGTACGTATGCGTCTCGTTTTGCGGTAGCATGTGTATTATACACTGCACCAATCTTGCCCGCCACCGGGCACGCAGGTGTTTCTCTCGGTGTTGGTAAACTCCCGTCGCTAGTAGGATTGCATATAACCAAAATCATACCATTTTGGGTAATGTTGAACACAGTAGACATGAAGACAGTATCCCCCGTCTCAACAGCACCACCTTCAATTTGAAAGCATCATAATTATGGCTAAACGGCAGCGTGCTATTACCAGTATTGGTGGAAGAGCAGTGGTCCTTGAGAATGCCAACAGTGACATTCTGCCGGTAGTGTAGCTGTGAGTGTAGCTGGTCCACTCTCCTCTCCATCTCTGCCTTCACACTAGCCAGCTCCTCCTGACTCACACACTCAGTAGTTGAGTCATTGCCATCTGCAGTGGTATAACCTCGCACCAATGTCTTGTGTGTCTCTCTGTCTAGGTATGAGAATCTGTCTTTGATGACACTCACCTACTGTGCCAACTACTGAGGTGGCTGAGAGTAGCAAAAGCAGACAAAATATTGCAGCATAAGACATGGCTAGGCTATCCAAAGGAAGATGGCTTGCCTATATATAGTGCTCACTCCTGGTCACGTGTGATTCACGCAGGTGGATAATTGTATGGATACTTTATGCTGTGAATACTTCAATGTTTCAACTTCCATCCTTTTCCGACTTAAAGCAGCCTCATATATAGTGTTTGTTAGGGGACGCCATGTTACTGATTATCTTTCGTTTTTAACAAAATCCCGTGTTAGTATATAGCAAACAACACCTGTGTGCATGTACCCACTGTATACTACAAATCAACACTAAGTGAGCAAAACCTATACTGGCAGCTACTCTTCCTAAGAGGTTAAGAGGTAGATGTTATGGCAGATAGGTATTATACCTCCCATAGTTTGGTGTCCCTCCCTAATTAAACTTGCAGAATAACACCACACAAGTGGATGATATTTGGGAGCAAGACACAACACGAAAGATCTTCTTACTATGGAAAGCTTGCCAGATTCGTTTGCCTGGGAGGCATGTAGGGGATAAAATGATATAGACAGTCTCAGAGACTAGCATGCTGCGGTACTGCTAAGTTAGAATGCTGCATCACTTCATTATATCCACAACACCCTCAATTTAGTATTAAATCTCAAAAGTGATAATGCAACTATAGCAAGGTGGAGCGAGTTGTTTCCTATTCCTCTAGTTGAAAACAAGGCCTATGTCTCTAATGTAGTTGGAAAGTAATTAATACTGTAGCATTCACTGCATGATCTCCAATGCAATGCCAATGCTGTGATGAGTGGGCCATGCTATAGCTATGAGTTTTACTCATGAAAGAAGCTCAAAAGTAAGCTTGTGGCAACTCCATTTCTAACAGGACTTCATTACTGCCGCAAGGATTGCATTACTTTCTATGCACACAATGCCACCCGCCTAAAGAATCCACAACCTGAATGAAAATGGGTCCAACATAAAATAGTGTGTACCCAAATGTAAGTATAAGCTGCTATCTTATTTAATGAACGTTGACGTGTGCATAATTTTGACACTAATCTCCCCCCATAACAGCGCTCCAACTGCGACATTGTAGGCACACACCATTATGCGTGCGCGGGTTGGTACTGATGCGTCGCGTTTTGCTGTAGTCAACTCAAGGCCTGCGTTCTGGATAGTACACAGCATTACTTATAGTGCTCACTCATGGTCATGTGTGACTTACGCAGGTGGATATGCTGTGAATACTTCAACGTTTCAACTTCCATCCTTTTCCGCCTTTTACTTTAAAGCAGCGTCATAGGGGACACCATGTTATTGATTATCTTTTCTAATTCACTTTCGTTTTTAACAAAATCCCGTGTGAGTAGCAAACAACACCTGTGTGTACCCACTGTATACTACAAAAGACTTCAGTCAACACTGACTAATCAAAATCTAATATACTGGCAGCTACTCTTCCTAAGAGATACAGAGTACGCAGAGTAGTATATATAATATATAATATATATATATATATATATATATATAGTAGAACAATGGATGAGTACTTTTATAGACTTTGACTACTGTCATCATCATCATATCATGTTGTAATCTTGTCTAGAGTGCTTTTAAGGATGTTAACAGTGAATTAGTAACATAGAATTGTGTAATACTGTATAATCAGGCAAAACCCCTCCATAAAGGACACCCCGCTAATGGACAAAATGTTGTGGCTCCAAGTTGTCTGCCTTAGAGGGTTCCACTGTAGCTGTGTGTCACAACTACAAAGTTAAAGTGTATCATGTATGCACCTGCAATAGACAAGTTCAGGTCTGTAGTCTCCCAGTATCCTTATGTTACATTATCCCCCCTTACCAGCTCTCCCAGTTTATACTATGTCCTTGCCTGATGCCATGAGTAAGCTTGTCTATTTCCTGCTCCATTTCCCTATAAAGCACCATGAGAATTGGTTGAATCTAGGCTTGTCCCAATTGTTTTGCTAATTTTTCAGAACCACTTACATTGAACGGCATCGTCATTGCTCTGAGGTCAGAATGTGTTGGTGATAGGTATATATTATACCTCCCACAGTTGGGTGTCCCTCCCTACACACCTGGAGAAGAACAAGACACAAATGAAAAGCACTGAAGTGCAAACCCTCGGCGCACTGTGACGCGCACGCGTAAGTAAACGCATGCGCCGTACCACTAATTTATGGGCTGGGTTTAGTTTTAGCTGTTACTCGCGGTCTCTTGCCAGCTCGCACAGAGTCTGACGCGGGCTAACTACACTACTATATAGTATGCGAGAGGCGATACACGCCCTGCGTTGCATCTTCTGGTGCCTCCGAAGTACGCAGAGCACGCGGATCGATCCGACTGTGGTAAGTCCGTTGTGTATTTGCATATTGGCTTTTTCGCGCTCTAGCTTTGCAACGAAGCAGTTTCAGAGAAAACCGTTCGAAAATTCTGACCTTCATTGCCCGTTAAGTAGGTCGTATCCTTTGTGAGACGAACAAACACCCGAGAAGTGAGATTGAGAGTAACAGACAGACACACACACAGACAGACCCAAGTACTGTAACCCTCGCTGCGCATGCGCGCCGAGGGTTAATTAACATGAAAGATCTTCTTACTATGGAAAGCTTGCCAGATACATTCTTGTAGTAGGTCCTCCAGGAATTGTAAGAGTATACGTTTGCCTGGGAGATGTAGTAGGGGGTGGAATGATGTAGACAGTCTCAGAGACTAGCATGCTGTGGTACTGCTAAGTTAGAATGCTGCATCACTTTGATATGTAGTGGGTCCCACTTAATATCATACCGTTTAATAGAATATCCCGTTTATTATCATACAAACTTGAAATCCAAAACCATTTCCTATACTTTCCCATACATTTTACTCCGTTTTATAGAATACGGAAAATACGGAGAATGTCATATCTCGCCTATTATCATAGAAAAAGTGAGCAATTTTGGTTTTTTGCCCTCATATTGTCATTATTGCGCATGCGTAATTAGGCATTGTACAACTTTGGGCTGGAGTTTTGCAACTCTCCATTCTCCACCTATGTAAACAGCTAGGCTAGCCTATCTTCATTAGCTTAGCTAAACAAACTGCATTGTGTGCTATCTAGTTCACAATATACATTGGTATACTCGCCAGCATTTGAATATCCCGCATATTATCATATTTTTTGGATGCACCCGGGGGTATGATATTAACCGGGACCCACTGTATCCGCAGCACCCTCAATTTAGTATTACATCTCAAAAGTATTGAAGCTGATAATGCACCTATAGCAAGGTGGAGCGAGTTGATTCATATTCCTCTAGCTGAAAACCAGGTCTATATCTCTAATGTAGTTGGAAAGTAATTAACCCTCGGCGCGCATGCGCAGCGAGATTAGTCGTTCTGTCTGTCTGTCCGTCTGTCTGACGAGAAGAATGATATTAATGTGGCGATTTTCCCGGAACGACTGCGATAAATGGCGTGTGAAAACAGTTACGCGAGCGATTCATCGCGCACGCGCGTATGTGGGTGTATCGTTTTACCGACGCGAGCGATCCATCGCGCACGCGCGTATTTCGTTTGCCGGAGCATGCGCATCTGCTAGATTCCGCGTGGTTATTTTAGTTGACCTTGGACGAGCAAGCGGTTTTTTAGTTTCTCTCCTCAGTCATTGTTGATCTCTGTTCTCGATGGACAACAAATTGAGCAAGGTATGTCCGCAATGTTCATAATCGTACGACCTGATCCGCTCGCTCTGTGTACCTTTGGGGCTCAGAAAGTCACAACGAATGGCATGTATCGACTCCCGCATGCTATCTACTACTGTAGCTAGCCCGTGTCAGACTCGCGACGTGAGCAGTATCGCGTATGCGCAGTTCGCCGAGGGTTTGCATTTTAGTGCTAATACTGTAGCATTCACTGCACGAACCCTCCAATGCAATGCTAGCGAATCCAATGCTGTGATGAGTGGGCCATGCTAGCTTGAGTTTTACTCGTGAATGAAGCTCAAAGTAAGCTTGTGGCAACTCCATTTCTAACAGGACTTCATTACTGCCGCAAGGATTGTTATGCATACAATGCCCCCATTCTTACACTAGGCAGCCTAAAGAATCCACAACCTTAGGTATGCTATTTAATCCTGTGAGGAAAAGTATCTGTGCAAGTTGTTTACGCACTTTTGTAGCCAGAGGATGCCCGATGTGCTTTTAAAGGCTAAGCTGGGTGCTTGGCCAAGCTTTCAGGCTCTTTGTGTAAAGCTACCTTAAAGCTACCTTAACTTTAATGCATGCACCACATCTATAAGCATGAGTACTAAAGAACCCAGTCATATACCTTCCCAGACTGCCATATTCAAAATTTAAGCTAAATAATTATGCCTTTGAAAGGGTGACCCCGTGGATGGTACATTCTCCAAAGAAGATATCCCTGATAGGGTTCATTCATTTTGGATTCATGAATGAATTCTGTGAATTATAATGGAACAGTCATTTCTACACCTTTAAAGGAACTCATAATTGATGATCGTCAGTTGCCAAAATCTAGGTTTAGTTGGGGTAACATTATATTATTTACCTCCTTCTTGTCACTGAGGGAAGGTGTGTTACCAAGCAAGACTACCGTCATGAAAATGAACGATAATTCTTGTACACAGTGATACTCTCGAAGAAATAAAAATCCAGTCTGGATTATTTCTCCCTCTCTCTGCTGGAGAGGATGGTGAGTATAGTCAGTGGATGATACTTGGACCTCTTCAACAATTCAATTTGGGGGCTGTTGACAGACATGCACAGATACTTTTCCTCACAGGATTAAATAGCATACCTAAGGTTGTGGATTCTTTAGGCTGCCTAGTGTAAGAATGGGGGCATTGTATGCATAACAATCCTTGCGGCAGTAATGAAGTCCTGTTAGAAATGGAGTTGCCACAAGCTTACTTTTGAGCTTCATTCATGAGTAAAACTCAAGCTAGCATGGCCCACTCATCACAGCATTGGATTCGCTAGCATTGCATTGGAGGGTTCGTGCAGTGAATGCTACAGTATTAGCACTAAAGAAACCCTCGGCGAACTGCGCATACGCGATACTGCTCACGTCGCGAGTCTGACACGGGCTAGCTACAGTAGTAGATAGCATGCGGGAGTCGATACATGCCATTCGTTGTGACTTTCTGAGCCCCAAAGGTACACAGAGCGAGCGGATCAGGTCGCGGTAAGCCCAGTACGATTATGAACATTGCGGACATACCTTGCTCAATTTGTTGTCCATCGAGAACAGAGATCAACAATGACTGAGGAGACAAACTCAAAAACCGCTTGCTCGTCCAAGGTCAACCACGCGGAATCTAGCAGATGCGCATGCTCCGGTAACGAAATACGCGCGTGCGCGATGGATCGCTCGAGTCGGCAAAACGATACACCCACATACGCGCGTGCGCGATGAATCGCTCGCGTAACTGTTTTCACACGCCATTTATCTCTGGACCGTACACAGTCGACTATAACGGGTGCGTTGAGCAGTGAATGTCGTCGTCTTGTTGCTGCCGCTGTAACGGCAGCGGACGCTGTAAAAACTGCGCCTGTGTGGCTCAACGGTCTTGCTCTTCCTGTCTACCTAGTCGAAGGGGAAGGTGCTTAAATATTGAATCCTCTCCGTCATCTACGCTCACCGATAATTCGG